GGAAGAGCAGGGACACCCTGCACCTGCCCAGGGCAGAGGGAGCTCATCAGTTTTCCCTTTTCCATCAGAGAGCCATCATGGGAGGAGAATGATGCGTTCGCTGAGCAAGGAGAGACACACAGGCACTGCGATGCCAGTGAGTGCCTTTGTCCAGGAGGCAGGCAGGAGGCAGAGGAACAGGGGTAAGTTGCCAAAGCTGCCTCCCAGGGCTCTGCAGGGCTTGAAGGACCCAGGAGAAGAGCTCAGCCAGATAATCCCACGCTTTGGACACTTTGTCCTCACCTCCATGAACCCGTTTGCTTCCCCAGGCCTTGGGAATTGCTCCTGTGCTCCTCCTGTGGTGCCGAGGGCACCCACAGACACTGCTCTGGCCTGAGGGACAGCACAACCAGCTGGGAATGTGACAACTGTGCTGGCCAGAGCATCCGCAGACACTGCTGTGGCACGACAGCCTGCACGAACAACTGTGACTGTGACAGCTGTGCTGAGTACCTGACATGTAAGAAGCAAAGCACCTGAATGCCCCTGGGTCAGGTGCCCCTGGGCCTGGCAATGGGTGCCCAGGGTGGTCTTGGCAGAGCCTGTCAGCTCCAGGAGGGCTGCGGGCACTGCTCTGGCCTGGCCTGTCTTGGGCCTGGGGCGGTCTTGACCTTCCTGCTTCCCCTTACAGCCTCCGGTGAATTCTCAATCCTTGCCAGACTCATGGAGGAGTCTCCTGCTGTGTCAACAGAACATGAGACCATCACCCCCAGCACCAGCCAACAGGCAGCATCAGAGCAGTCTCTGGAATCTCCCTCAGAGGAGATGAGCAGCCCCAGCCCTTATAGTCAGGTAACATCGAGGCCATCCCACAGCAACATCCCAGAAACTGAGGGCAGCAGCTGCTCTCGCAGTCGGGGGCCTGGCCGCCGGCAAAACCGCACCCGCCGGCAAAGTCGGCCCCCAAATCCACATCCTCGGTCCAGAAGTCCCCGTGACAGCAGCCATGTGCCGGAACCAACTGCTGCGAGGCGCAGACCCAGGCAGGGACAATCAGGGACATCCCCCAGGCGAAAACGCTCCCGCCGGCAAAGTCGGCCCCAGAATCCACACCTTCGGTACCCGAGTCCCTGTGACAGGAGATGTTCGCCAGACCTCCGGTCCCCGAGTCCCCAGGACAGGAGCTGTTTACCACCACCACCAAGTCCTCGGAGGCGCAGACGCAGCGAGGAGGCATCAGAGACATCCCGCAGCCGAAACCGCTCCTGCGAGCAACGTCGGCCCCAAAATCCACACCTTCGCTCCAGAAGTCGACGTCACAGGAGCCGTGTGAGAACACCAAGGGCCGGGAGCTGCACCTCCACCCAGGAAGCATCAGAGACATCCCGCAGCCGAAACCGCTCCCGCCAGCAACGTCGGTCACAAAATCCACGCCTTCGGTCCAGAAGTCGCCGTGACAGGTCCCCTGTGCCAGCACCAAGTCCTGAGACCTGCACTCCCAGCCAGGAAGAATCAGGGACATCCCGCAGGCAAAATCGCTCCCGCCGCCAAAGTCGGACGTCAAATCCATCCTACCGGTCCAGAAGTCCCCGTGACAGGAACTGCACGCCAGCACCGAGTGCTGGGAGACGAAACTCAAGGGAGACAACAGCCAGGACCTCCCAAAGGCAAAACAACTCCCACCAGCAGCGTCGGACCTCAAATTCATCCAGCAGATCCAGAAGTGGCCGTGACGGGAGGCGTGATAGAGCCCCCAGTGCTGGG